GGGAGTTGGTGAGGGTGGAAAAGCGTGGAATCAAGTGTAATAACACAATGGCGGGGGAAGGAGCGGAGAAAGAGGGGGGGGTGAAGAGGACAGAGACGGAGCAGACTTTTAGAGAAGGAGACAATGACCAAAAAGAGAAAAAAAAGGGGAGGGAGAGGGCTGAATCTGTGCTTAGCCGTGGCCTTCAGCTGTGGAGTTCCTGTTGTTGTGTGTGTGTGTGTGTGGGGGGGGGGGGGGTTTCCCTCTGGGCAAAGGGAAACAGCAGAGGATGTCTTTTTTTTTCCTGGCTGATCAAGAATGCCCGGGCTTCGAGGTCTTTCCTCCTCTCATTGGCGTTTTTCAAAAAAAGCAAATGCTTTGTGATAATGATGTGGAGTTTGGCAGGAGTGACCCCAGTGTGTGTGTGTGTGTGTGTGTGGAGGGGGGGGATCCAGGGTGAGAGGTTTCTGCCTGGGATCAGTCAGGGATCTCCCTCAGCACAGACTGGACTACACCTCCCAACATGCGGGCCCACACAATGGGAGGCGGGCGCCGTTAATCCCGCCAGCCAATGGCTTTGTGCGGGGAGCGCTGGTTGGTGGGTTGCACGGCAGCTGTTGTCAATGGCAACAGAGGTTTTCAGGGAAGCATGAGCTGGACAGCTGGTAGAGGGCCCCACAGTCCCCCTGCCAGGGGGGGTCACGTGATCCCCGGGCGGCCAATCCCAGGCCTCTGCCCTCCTCTCTGCCTCGCTCCCTGTCTCCCATTTGCTGGCTCTGGCTCTCTTCAGCTGCTGCGGGAGGGGGGAGGGAAGCAGGAGAGAGAGGAGGGGAAGTGGCGACACAGAGAGGGAGGGGTGTTTGAGGGGAGGCAGCTTCCACAGGGAAAGAGTGAAAGAGCTCCAGAACGCAAAACGGAGAGCGGGAGTCTCCCTTCCCCTCTGCCCGGTTATCCAGAAGATAGGTGAGGATCCCACACGCCCTGTCCACCCCCCCCCCACCCCTCTCCTCCGGCTGCCCCCCTCCCTCCTCCATCCTCCATCCTCCAGAGCAGCAAGGGGGACAAAGAGACACCAGGAGCAAAGGACAAGAGATGAGTGTGTAGTTGGAGCGGAGCAGGCTGTCACAGGCGGAGGCAGAGGGAGAGACGGAGTCATGCCAGTGCGGGGGGGCGCAGCAGCGGCTGGGGGCTGTCAGGCTGCTCGGCCCGCGTGAGGATCTCTGTCGGGAATACCGAGCAAAGGACACCAAGGCAAAAGAAGAGGAGCAGCAG